AGGGTCGCCCCGTGGGGCTCACGGAACCCCCCAAGACTGCCCAACAGGCCCCGAAGCCGGCCCAGGAGGCCCCCAAGACGGCCTCAGGGAGGCCCGGGAGGGCCTTGTTCGAAATCATGTAGCCTCTCCGGGAACATGATTTCCGGGTTCCCAGGACGCCCTAGAGGCCCACAAGACAGCCCCAGCGAGGCCCAAGAGGGCCCGAGATGGCTTGAAGATGGCCAACGAGGGCCCCAAGAGGGCCTTCAAGAGGCAAACATCGGCCCATTCCCTTCGTAAAACGTACAATTTCAACATACTCGCTGGCTTCGTCTTCAAAGTGCCCCAGACGCCCCCGAGGAGCTCCAAGACAGCCCAAGAAAGACCCAAGAGGGCCCAAGACGGCCCCAAAGGGTCGGCCTGTGGGGCTCACGGAACCTTCCGAGACGGCCCAGGAGGCCCCGAAGCCGGCACAGGAGGCCCCCAAGACGGCCTCAGGGAGGCCCGGGAGGGCCTCGTTCGAAATCATGCTCCTGGAAGCCTCTCCGGGAACATGATTTCCAGGTTCCCTGGACGCCGAAAGACAGCCCCCAGAGGCCCCGGACACGCCGAAGATGGCCTCAGGACGGCCGACGACGCCGCCAAAACGCCCCAAGAGCGCCTCCAGAGGCCCCTCCAAAGGGCCCCAGAAGCCGAAAACAGTAATTGTTCCAATGGTTTTTGAAGCATTCTTGCGCTCTCCCATGTTCCGCCTCCCCACGGTCCAGGACCGCGTCAGAGGCCCTTCAGATCGCTCCAAGACGGCCGCAGAGGCTCCCAAGAAAGCCCAGAGACGGCCCAGGAGGCTCCCCAGATAAGTCAAGAGGGCCTCGAGAGCGCCCCAAGAGAGCCCCAAGAGCGACCCAAGAGGGCCCGAAGAGCGCGACATTTCAAGGTCTCCGGCCTGAGAGGCTCCTAGGACGCCCCCAGAGGCCATCAAGAGGCTCCCACAAAGCCCCGTGATGCTCCCAAGAGGCCCCCCGGAAGCCCCAATAGGCCCCCAGGGAAGCCCCCTGCGGGCCCCAAAGACACTTCGGTAAGTCGTATTTCCCAGATAGCTTTCCGGGAACATGATTCCTTGGGCTTCCGCCCACCGCCCCAACCATGTTTCCAATAGGCTTGCCGACAAGGCCAAAAGGCGCCCCTCGGTAAGCCCCCAGAGGCCCCCCTCTTAGAGAGCCGAACAAATCATGCTCCCGGAAAGCTTCCCGGGAACATGATTCTCTATCTCGGAGTAGGCCCAGGGGGGGGGCGGGCCGCTGCCTGTTCCCCCCATCGGTGCCCACCAGGGGTTGCGGGGGGGGTCCAGAGCTCCCGAGGCGTCCCGAGCCCGCCCCGAAGCAGGCCACGACAGGCTAATGGAGGTCCCGAGAGGGCCCTAGACGGTCCCACGAGGCCCCGAAGACACCCAAGATGCCCTCAAGACAGCCGACGAGGATTCCAACATGCTCCAGGACGGACTCAAGAGGCTCCCCAAGAGGGCCCTGGAAGGCAAGATTCACTCGTTTTCCGAGTGTTGTGGATTTGGGCGTTCTCGCTTTTCCCGCTTTCCAGCGCTCCCTCACGACCTCGGAGGCCCTTCAGATCGCTCCAAGAAGGCCCACGAGGCCCCGACGAGGGCCCCAAGACGGTCCAGGATGCTCTCCAGACAACCCAAGTGTGCCCCAAGAGCGCGCCAAGAGAAGGCCCAGAGGGGTCCCGAGGCGGCCTGGACCCGCCCCGAAGCAGGCCACGACAGGCTAATGGAGGTCCCGAGAGGGCCCTAGTAGACGGTCCCAAGAGGCCCCGAAGACGCCCAAGTTGCCCTCAAGACGGCCGACGAGGACTCCAACACGCTCCAGGACGGACTCAAGAGACTCCCCAAGAGGGCCCTGGGAGGCCAGATTCACTCATGTTCCTATGGTTTTTGAAGGAATTAGGCGTTCTCGCTTTCCCCGCTTACCAGCGCTCCCTCACGGCCCGCTCGGAGGCCCTTCAGATCGCTCCAAGACGGGCCACGAGGCCCCGAAGAGGGCCCCAAGACGGCCCAGGAGGTTCCCCAGACAACCAAATTGTGCCCCAAGAGCTCCCCAAGAGAGGGCCCAGAGGGCCGATATTTCGAGGTCTCTGGCCCTAGAGGCCGCCTGTAGGCCCCCGGAGGCCACCAAGAGGCTCCCACGAAGCCCCGTGAGGCGCCCAAGAGGCCCCCAGGAAGCCCCAAGAGACCCCCAAGGGGCTCCCAGGGAACACCCAAGAGGTCCCCCAACACACCCCAAGAAGTCATGTCCCCAGAAAACCTTCAGGGGACGTGGTTCATCATGGGCCCGAGAGTTCCCAGAGGCCCCCAAGGGGCCCCCAGGGAACGCCCAATAGACCCCACAACACGCCCGAACAAACCATGTCCCCAGAAAGCCTTCCGGGGACATGGTTCATCTTGGGCCCGCCAGTCTCCGGAGGCTTTGAAATCAATGCTACAGGAGAGCTGTCTGGGAAGTTGATTGGG